AAGGAGAGGGAGAGGGAGTGGGAAGGAGAGGGAGAGGTAGTGGGAAGGAGAGGTAGTGGGAAGGAGAGGGAGAGGGAGTGGGAAGGAGAGGGAGAGGGAGTAGGAAGGAGAGGAAGAGGGAGTGGGAAGGAGAGGGAGAGGGAGTGGGAAGGAGAGGAAGAGGTAGTGGGAAGAAGAGGGAGAGGTAGTAAGAAGGAGAGGGAGAGGTAGTGGGAAGGAGAGGGAGAGGTAGTGGGAAGGAGAGGGAGAGGTAGTGGGAAGGAGATGGAGAGGTAGTAAGGAGAGGGAGTGGGAAGGAGAGGGAGAAGTAGTGGGAAGGAGAGGGAGAGGTAGTTGGAAGGAGGGGGAGAGGTAGTGGGAAGGAGAGAGAGAGGGAGTGGGAAGGAAAGGGAGAGGTAGTGGGAAGGAGAGGTAGTGGGAAGGAGAGGGAGAGGGAGTGGGAAGGAGAGGAAGAGGTAGTGGGAAGAAGAGGGAGAGGTAGTAAGGAGGAGAGGGAGAGGTAGTGGGAAGAAGAGGGAGAGGTAGTAAGAAGGAGAGGGAGAGGTAGTGGGAAGGAGAGGGAGAGGTAGTGGGAAGGAGAGGGAGAGGTAGTGGGAAGGAGAGGGAGAGGTAGTGGGAAGGAGATGGAGAGGTAGTAAGGAGAGGGAGTGGGAAGGAGAGGGAGAAGTAGTGGGAAGGAGAGGGAGAGGTAGTTGGAAGGAGGGGGAGAGGTAGTGGGAAGGAGAGGGAGAGGGAGTGGGAAGAAGAGGGAGAGGTAGTGGGAAGGAGAGGTGGTGGGAAGGAGAGGGAGAGGGAGTGGGAAGGAGAGGGAGAGGGAGTGGGAAGGAGAGGAAGAGGGAGTGGGAAGGAGAGGAAGAGGGAGTGGGAAGGAGAGGGAGAGGGAGTGGGAAGGAGAGGAAGAGGTAGTGGGAAGAAGAGGGAGAGGTAGTAAGAAGGAGAGGGAGAGGTAGTGGGAAGGAGAGGGAGAGGTAGTGGGAAGGAGAGGGAGAGAGAGGGAGAGGTAGTGGGAAGGAGAGGGAGAGGTAGTGGGAAGGAGATGGAGAGGTAGTAAGGAGAGGGAGTGGGAAGGAGAGGGAGAAGTAGTGGGAAGGAGAGGGAGAGGTCGTTGGAAGGAGGGGGAGAGGTAGTGGGAAGGAGAGGGAGAGGGAGTTGGAAGGAGAGGGAGAGGTAGTGGGAAGGAGAGGTAGTGGGAAGGAGAGGGAGAGGAAGTGGGAAGGAGTCGGAGAGGTAGTGGGAAGGAGAGGTAGTGGGAAGGAGAGGGAGAGGGAGTGGGAAGGAGATCGAGAGGTAGTAAGAAGGAGAGGGAGTGGTAGTAAGAAGGAGAGGGAGAGGTAGTAAGAAGGAGAGGGAGTGGGAAGGAGAGGAAGAGGTAGTGGAAAGGAGAGGGAGTGGTAGTAAGAAGGAGAGGGAGTGGGAAGGAGAGGGAGGGGTAGTAAGAAGGAGAGGGAGTGGGAAGGAGAGGGAGGGGTAGTAAGAAGGAGAGGTAGTGGGAAGGAGAGGGAGAGGTAGTGGGAAGGAGAGGGAGAGATAGTGGGAAGGAGAGGGAGAGGTAGTAAGAAGGAGAGGGAGTGGTACTAAGAAGGAGAGGGAGAGGTAGTAAGAAGGAGAGGGAGTTCGGAAGGAGAGGGAGAGGTAGTGGTAGTGGGAAGGAGAGGGAGAGGTAGTGTTAGTGGGAAGGAGAGGGAGAGGTAGTAAGAAGGAGAGGGAGAGGTAGTAAGAAGGAGAGGTAGTAAGAAGGAGAGGGAGAGGTAGTAAGAAGGAGAGGGAGTGGGAAGGAGAGGGAGAGGTAGTGGGAAGGAGAGGCAGTGGGAAGGAGAGGGAGTGGCAGGGAGAGGTAACGGAAAGAAGAGGGAGAGGTCGTGGGAATCAGAGGGAGAGGGAGTAAGAAGGAGAGGGAGAGGTAGTGGGAAGGAGAGGGAGCGGCAGGGAGAGGGAACGGGAAGGAGATGGAGAGGGAGTAAGAAGGAGAGGGAGAGGTAGTGGGAAGGAGAGGCAGTGGGAAGGAGAGGGAGTGGGAAGGAGAGGGTGTGGGAAGGAGAGGGAGAGGCAGTGGGAAGGAGAGGGAGTGGCAGGGAGAGGGAACGGGAAGGAGAGGGAGAGGTTGTGGGAATCAGAAGGAGAGGGAGAGGGGTTGGGAAGGTGAGGGGTTGGGAAGAAGAGGGAGAGGGTTTATGCCCCGGTCACACATTCACTGATTGGACGCCGGATTAGCCACGGATACGATCCGGCATCATTTGTGGCAATCTGTAGTGGTCCGTATCTGTCCGTATTGTATCCTGGGTCAATCGTAGTAGTACTTGTATATCTGTGACAATTTTTTAGCATGTTCAAAAATTCCCCACGGATCAGAAAACCGTAGTACATCCCTACTGATCCGTATTAGAACGTACTTATCCGTTGTAGTCCGTAATAAACTGTACTTATTCATAGTACACCCCCGGACTCAAGTCGCCAAGCATCGGTAAGGCTAGTTACAGTGAACTACGTACTTGTACGGTTACACCACGGATTAGCCAAGGGTACAATACGGTTTGTTACGGATTTGTCACGGATCAGCATGATCGCACTACGTTCTATTAGGGATAGGTAGGGATTACCAAGGTTTCTCAAGGATTCCCACGGGTGACTACGTGACATCACGGCATAATACGGGTTACTACAGTCCACTACAGTTTATTACGGATTATGTCATCTAGGTGTCACCCCCGTTCTGTCACCAGACTTCCAGTTTATAGGGCCCTACTTCATATCTGTTTCATCCAAGAAGTCTACATCTAACAACAACCAACATGAACAACCAACAACTGAGGCTGGCACTTAACTGGCTGGACCTGGACACTGATATTGCACAAAATGCCAGGGCCATGGTGGAGCTGCTTGAGGACAGACTGAGAGGTGACCGGAGGCAGAAGAGATGGTGGACCAGGGACTGGCTCCTCCGACGACCCATCCATGGCCAGTATGAAGCACTCATGGCTGAACTGAGTGTGGAAAATCCAGCTGCTTTCAAGAAGTTTGTGAGAATAGACCTACAGATGTTCCAAGAACTGTTACAAGTAGTGGGTCGCATGGTTATGAAGAACATTATCTGGTACAGACAGTCCATAGAACCTGGAGTGAGGCTAGCAGTCACACAGCGTTACCTGGCTACGGGTGACAGCTACCGGTCCTTGATGTATGGCTTACTATCTCTGGTATTGTTTGGGACGTATGTGAGACCAAAATTGCAACATATGCTGGGGATGTTATCGACACACCTACTGAGCCTGAACAGTGGCAGGCAATAGCCGACCAGTTTTCTGCAAAATGGCATTTCCCACATGCTCTCGGCGCTCTAGATGGCAAACATGTTGCCATACAGTGTCCTAAGAACGGTGGCTCCCTATACTTCAACTGTAAAGGATATCACTCAATAGTTCTGATGGCCCTAGTCGACGCCGATTACAAATTCCGGTGGGTGAATATTGGTGCACAAGGTGGTTGCTCCGACGCTCAGATTTGGAACTAGTGTGAGTTGAAAAACGCCATTGAAAGGGGTGTAATCGGCATCCCATCAGCAGCCCCCCTTCCCGGTGATGACAGACCGATGTCTTACTACGAGTATATCATTGCAGACGATGCATTTGGCATGAATACCTGGCTCATGAAGCCCTTCTCCAGACGGGGTCTTGCCAATGACGAGAGGATCTTCAACTACCGCCTCTCGAGGGCAAGACGAGTTGTGGAAAATGCATTTGGTATCCTTGCAAACAGATTCCAGTGTTTGCTCTCCGGCATGTTGCAGGACCCTGATACAGTATATGCCATAGTCCTTGTATGTTTGTGCCTTCACAACATCATGAGAGTCAGATATCCTGGTGAACAGAACCCTCTCATTGATCAAGAGGATGTTAACCACCTGTTATCCCTGGAGCCTGGAGAGAGGGTGAACGATGTGCAGAACACCAGGGCTGGCAACTTAGACACCTTGGAAGCGAAGCAGCAGAGGCTGTACCTTAAACACTACGTCAATTCACCTGTCGGGGCGGTGCCATGGCAGAAAGGATGGTATAAAATATCATCCTTCAGAACGGTCGAATTGTGTTGGATATTGGGAAAGGGAAGGAGTGGGAAGGGGAGGGAGAGGGAATGGGAATCAGAGGCAGAGGGAGTAAGAAGGAGAGGGAGAGGGATTAAAAAGGAGAGGGAGTGGGAAGGAGGTGGAAAGGAAGTTGGAAGGAAAGGGGGAGAGAGAGGGGGTGGCAGAGGGGGACAGGGAGGAGGAGAGGGAGAAGTGTTCCTTGGCATTTATTGTATGTCAACGGGCTTCACCACTTGGGTTACGTGTATGATTTGAGTATATGGTCACAGTGACCTAAATGTGATATCATGAGATTATTGCCATTTGTCATACATTTGTTCTGTTTGTTGGTCAACCTGGCAATCAGCAATATTTCAGCTATATGAAGGGGGCCTGTAAATAATTGAGTCTTGATCAGATAATCCAGTGATTGATATATTCAGCAATGATCCATGGTGTTTATGGGTTGCTGGGGCAACTGTTCTAATCTGGATCCTTATGGGGTCTTTTGTCATACATGAGTATTTTTCATAATATAACCATTACATGCATAAGACTTGCATAGAAATACATGCACAAAAAGGCATTTTGTGAAAATGCCAAACAAGTATAATGTTTGACCTATTATGTCACCTTGGCCTCATACATAGGTCACTCACACCTTGTTTCCATCTTGGGACTGCTCTCAAGATGACTTGTTTCATTGACCTAAAGTAAATCCTTCTTTAGGCAAAGATATGTCCTTGATGATGGCCTTGACCTTTGACACAACTAATCAAGATGTCAAAAAAACATAAAAGAGAAATGCATGATGTCATATCCCTGAGATGGCCAATCGCTGAATGGTTTTGTAGAATGTGCGGCAGCAGCGGTTCAAACAAAAACAAAATAGAATTTACATGGTGCTTGTTAATACTTGATCTACAGATACTGGACTTACTGTTGATGCGTATATTTCGGCCAGCCGAGTTACCAGATGCTTTGTTGTTGTGCTGTGAAGATGACAGAGCACATCCCATGTCAAACATCAGCAACACTTGACGACAGCCATCACATTGTGCATCACCTAAATCAAGTACCCAAATAACAACAATAATTACAATCATATTCATCTCAAGTGACACTGTTAACTGAAAGCACTGAAGCTGTTAGGAATAGGTATTGGAGGTTTAAAGAGTATCACAATATTTTATGATGCACAAGGCCGTTGTTTGGGGGCTGAACCTTAATGAGTCTAAATTGAAGTATTAGCTCAATGCTATTCTAATATAGGTGATGACAGATTTACCTAAATAAAATAGTTCAAGGCAATCTATTAAACTATGTAGACATAACTTTTGTCTTATTGAATAGTATAAGAGAGATGGGTTCTTGTTATGTTAGGCTGGTATATTTTGCATCAGCATTTTTCCTGGATCCCAATATATATATTACTTGATGTTCTATAATTATATGAAAATTTGTATAAATGTTACACCATGATAATTTATAAAAGCATTTGCTATGGATCTAATTATTATATGAAAACTTAGTATATTACATCATGATACAGTAAATCAAGATGTCTAGTGATGTTTATATCAAATTTCTAGTCAACCAAGTTTGTTGTCACCCAATTGTTGATACCTGAATTTGCTGAAGGGATATGATGACATTTTTTCTGCGAAAATACTTGGAACCATATTTTTTCCAAAATACTAAATAGACATTTAAAGGGGCACTGATCTAACGGACTGGTTGTTGCCTTTGTTATTGTTTTTCCCCCGTGAGTACCCGGATGATACGCAACGCAACTGAGCGTGACCAGAGACTGGGGTACCGTCTGCAAGGACAGCTAAATAAACTTGGAGGCTGGAGGCAATATTTGTTTTATGCATTTTTGAACACTGATTGGTTAACTGTGATCTATAAAGATTTCGACAAAGGGCGCATGTTAATTAATTTCTTCAGCCTAAACAAACAGACAAAAACAACAAGGGAACTCATCGGATGTCGTCATTTGGAAATACCCCAGATGGTTATAGTTTAATACCAAAAAAGTATCCATGCAGTGAAAGCATTTTCGGATTTCGGCTTGCTACTCCCTTGTTGTCATCCACGTTTTCTCGTATAACCCTACACTTGTGTATTTGTCATCATTCACTTGATGCTCAGTTAATGAATTTATTACAGGTACAATTAGTGGTAGCACCACTTAGATTACCTGACAAAGGTTCCCATTTGGCATTTATTGTGTCTGGGGTAATTATTCAATCTAAATCATGGTTTGAAGTGAGGTGAAATGTGTGTTATGTAAAGTGCACGTGTCAGCCCAGCAAGAGATGAATGATCAGTTGATATACTTTTTTTTGTAAATCAACGGATCGTTCCTAGTCATCAAAGGATTAACAGAAAATATGTTGATTGATTAATCACTGTTATCTTGCACAGTGGATATGCCAAGAGTGAGTGTTTACATGTCTAGGTTTACTAATTAAAACAAAGGGAATACACTCATATCATGGCGCGAAGTGCCGATGTAAAAACAACATACTTTGTTCAAAGGGTTAACTGGTAACACGTTGATTGCTTGATCATTGTTATCTATCACTCAATGAAATTTTTAGGAACCGTGGACGTTATGAAAATAGTTGTCACGTGGGCTTTCTCAGCCGACCATTGAGACGTGACACCTATGTAAAACACCTGAAACAATCTAAGTGATCAGTTGAGAAACGAACACGGGTTATAATATCCCGAAACGATATATATCTTTTAAAATATTTGATTGTTACAGAGACACGTGACATCGAATACGTTTCTTTGTACAGCTGCAGACGAGTGGAATATTGTTCCTTTGTGTGGATATTCACGGATACATTCCTCGAACAAGGAAGCTGCCTAAAACTTATACACATAAATTTGGTAGGTTGTAATTATGATATTTGCATTTTGTTTTCCTTCATTTGAACCGATTCGTTCTTGTTTCTCTACGTCTTGGTTGTGAAATTCTTCAATGCGCGATAGACGTTGTTGTCACAGGTCTTTTCCTTTGTAAGCGTGTATATATTACCGTCAATTTGAAAAATGTGATTCTCTCAGGCAATTTATAAAATGTGTAAATATTTCAGTCATTTTGACTAAAAAATCTGTCCACATTGATCAAGACGATCAAAAGGGCCTACAAACATCACAACAGATTATTATGTAGGATTAAAAGCCAAACAACTTAGAAATGTACTTTTCAACGTAACATTTTCAGTCTCTTGGTGATGACATTAAACATCAAAATGTTTGGAATTCGTTGTCATAATAATACAGATGGAAATGTTTTTCAGTCACTTTGTAAAATATCTGAATATTTAGACGTTTAATAAATTTTTTACACATTTGACAGTAAAAAAATATACACACTATAACAAAGCATATGCTCAGGTGAAATATTTACTTTGTGTTGCAAGTCAAAATAGTGTAAACGATAATCGCAAAATTACCAAGCAAGTCAAAACTTCGTTACCATTACCGATGCTACTCACAAAGATACCTACATTTCCTTATTATCTCGAAAACTGTATTTCATTTTGTTGATCAATGTGACCATACGCCATTACTACCCATAAAAGTGACTAATGCGCATACGAATGGCGCAGCAGAGGTCGCGAACTAGTCTAGATTTCTGCTATACATCCGGGTACTCACTGGGAAAAAACAATAACAAAGGCAACAACCAGTCCCGGGGAATTGCGTTAGATCAGTGCCCCTTTAATAAATATGCATGGATGCACGCTCCATGTATTTGGCAAGGTGAGGCTTGAAAACATGTCAAGCAGACCTGTCAAGCCTCACGCATTTGCGGGAGACTCCCGCAATTTGATGAAATCTCCCAGTCTCCCGCATGATGGACTATTTGTCCCGCAAAACAGAATTCTTCATTATTTTTAAAATTCGCCTCCATTGTCCCTTGAGTAAAAACAATGAACGGGAAATCTGCGTCCCGATCTGTCCGGTAGGCTCCCGGATTAGCGACCCTTATCACAGCCACCCACAGGGGGACCCAGATGGGCCTTTGTCCAGTAATCAACTGGTAATTAAATTCATATGGTGAACGATTGAACAATGTAAACTGTTAAGAAAACTCAGATAGTCCTAACAGGTGCCTGAAGGGTTCAACTTGAAATGAAAAATCAGCCAAGTATTCATCACTTCCTTCATGAAATGAACTGTTGTCTTCATGTTCTTAGCGTGTTTTTTCTTCCATAATTTAAGAACGTAGATACATATGTCCGGTCCAGTTATACATGACTTTATTGGTTATCAGATTTGTCAGAAACTTTGTTAAAACATCAACATACCTCAAAGTTACGTCATTGAACTCGTGGAAATGAAAACAAAATATGTCCTGCAAGCGCCGTCTTCAGAAACAACACTATGCGTGATTGGTTGATTCGGTAGTCCACATAACAATGAGTTACACGATCAGGCTTCCTCACAGCTAGGGTTTCAAAGTCAAAGTTTAAAGTGAAACTTATATATTTCCTTTTGACTGACATCGTGACTTGTGTGCACAGAATATCAAAATTGAACTTTATCAAATTTCGCGAGAATGTATCATGTGATTATTTTACACGATTTGATTGGCTAATAGTTTGCATGCGTCCCAGATCTGCAATCTAATTTGCATACAACTGTACTAGTCAACCAATGAGATTAATACACGTCAAGGTCAGAAAGGTCAACAACGACAATGAGACTCATTTCATTCATAAATTGTAGTAAAACGTAATAGTACTTCCAAATATGGCATACATTTCTTGGAATGGAATAACGTGAACATTTCTAGGAAATTTAAGAAGCGAAGTAATGGCACTGTCAACAGGCTACCGCAGACAGAAAAAAACAGTATATCTTATTGAAATTAGGGGCGATGATGTTGCATCAGGATAAATGCATTTGATATTACTTTGGCGAATTTTGTAACCAACATCGCGCCAAATACTCAGAAAACGTGCATCGTAACGAAGCCTGACAACTGGTGGGATTGAACACGTCGTCAACTGGTCAAGCTACCGATTGTGAAATTTCAATATCTGTTTGCGTTTATCTGAGATGATCTTTGAATGAAATTTATATGGGTAGATTGTGCTGGGTTTATTTTTGGAGGAGGAAAATGCAAACGGAAATTAAGCAAGCTGTACGTATAAGAAACCTATTGATTATTTATTGTTTGAAAATATTTGGTTTTCTAAGTAACATTATTAAAAATAAAAGTTGGAAATTATCTTATCTTCACTATTTTGTAAATCTCCCCCTTTGGAGGCAAATCTCCCCCATTTTGAAGTCAAATCTCCCACATTGTCATGATGAGGGGTTGGCAGGTCTGGTCAAGTGGAGATACATTAGAGATATGATTTCGTCTATTTTATCTATATTGTCCATCTATGCAGTGACTCAGAACAAATGCCATGTGTGTGTGCAAAGACAACAAATACTGTGATCATTGTCAGATTATATATGTACGACATAAGTGCTAAATCTAGGCAGTGACAGTGGTACTTTTGTAACAGGATATTGTATGTACAGTTTTTAGGAATATATACTCAACAACAAAAGTTCCTGTGACACCACTATTTTACTGTATTTTTCAAACAAGTAAAGTTTGGTTTTCAATATTGTAGTACATGTATGGAATCAAGTCACAAAAACGCAAATGCTACAGAAAAGCATGCATTCCATGCAAAAGTTGACTTTAATGCAAGCCCCATGCATTTCACTACCAAAGAATGGGTATAAAAACATGTGCGTTAACGGGATTCCATATGCATTGTTTAGCATCGTGCTTACAACAACTACTCAGAAAAGCAACAAAATTACGCAATTATTCAACATTACGAAATGCCATGCCTGTCCGAAAATGAGCATCTGCGAGCCATTGGTATGCTTGAAGCAGGATCGAGTCAACATAATGTTGCAAGACAATTTAACGTCCACAGAAACACCATTTGGTGTTCATGGCAACGTTGGCAACAGAGGAATGCAGTCAGAGACCATCCTCGGAGTGGCAGGCTACCCGTAACCAATAATCGACAAGACAACTGGATTCGAACAACACACCTACGAAATCGATTCCAGCCAGCAACAGTGACTGCAAGAAGCATCCCTGGCCTGCGACAAATATCTTCACAAACCATACGTTGTCGCCTCAGATGTGCAGGGATTGTCGCCAGAAGACCCGCCAGACGTCCCATTTTGACAGGAAATCACCGTCAAGCACGTCTACACTGGTGCAGACAGCGTCTACGCTGGATGGCCATGCAGTGGGGACAAGTTCTATTCACTGACGAGTCTCATTTCACCTCAGCCACAGCGATGGACGGATTCGAGTGTACCGACGTCGAGGTGAACATTACGTCAATCATTGTGTCATGGAAGGAGATCAGTTTGGGGGTGGCAGCGTTATGGTATGGGGTGGGATTACAGCAAATCAGAGGACCCGTTTGATAGTGGTAGAGGGAAATCTGAATGGACAGCGCTACCACGACGAGATCATCGGCCCTGTGGTTCTAACGTTTTTGCATCATCATGGCCCAGGCATTACCTTTCAACATGACAACGCCCGGCCTCATATTGCTGGACTTGTTCAGGATTCTCTTCAACAAAACAACGTGAATGTCATCCCCTGGCCGGCTTGCTCCCCTGATCTCTCACCAATTGAGCACATGTGGGATGAGATGGATCGGCGCCTTCGACGTCAACCACGTGTTCCACAGACACTCAAGGAACTTCGAAACATGCTCCAGCAAATATGGACAGATATCCCACAGGACTTTGTGCAACGCCTGGTCCATTCCATGAGACGAAGATGTGTTGCTTGTATCGCAACCAGAGGTGGACACACATGCTATTGATTTGTAAATTGACATTTTGGCATGTTCATGTTTTTTTATGAAATCACACATTTTCTGAAGTCAGTATGGCAAATTAAACCATTTGAACACTTACAGGAGTTTTTTTATCCGTTGCAAACCAAAATTGTTTCAGATTTGGTAAAAAACATAACTTTGCATTAAATCTTATTCAAAGTCACAGGAACTTTTGTTGTCCAGTATAGTTTTAGCTTTTTCATTTCAAGTTGTTGTATATATCTTCATTAGTTGTAGTCCAAAATGTATATGCTTTGGTTGAGTCCAAGCAGTTGGTCAATTTTATTGAAGGGTGGACAGGTTTGTCTATTCCGGTCCCTTTGTCACAAACTCTCTAGCTTGTCAATACAATAGCTTTCAGCTTCCTAGATGATTAACATTATCTAACTACAGCTTTCTTCACTAACATTTGCACACTTTTTATTCACTCTGCTTATAACTCTGCACAAACAAGACATTGACTACATATGGTTCAGGTTAGTTATTTACATTATCTTTCCTAAATAGATTCCTAACTTATTTAAATATGTAATCAATAATGTAAAATATTGTAAATGCTTACCTATGATATCAAATAATCAAGATATCTTCTATTTTATCAGTATAAAGTGTTTAACATGTAAGTATGTGTGAGAGCATGATTTGATTGGGAGTTTTGAATGTAAGGATAGAATTAGAAGTAGGTTTTCTATAATTTAAGGAAATGGTTGTCATGATGTATGTATGTATGTATGTATGTATGTATATAGGAATGCCATAATCCTATATGATGTGGGTTTATAGACACACCCCGGTGTCACCCACAGGGTATGTATAAATCCTTATTTTATCACTCACTTATGAATGAATTCATATGTATTATCTATGTGTTATTATTTAACACAAAATGTTAGAATTTTATATATATTCCTACTCTTAGAGATAATAAGTATATATTTATGACGCCACACGGCTACTATATTATTCTTCTAACTATATAGTGTGTAACTGATATATTCAATTATGAAAAGAGACATTTAATATATGTATCAGTATTTGAAAGTTCTGTAAATTGTATATGATATAAGTTATCTACAAAGAACTAGTGATGTGTAACTATATGTGTTGCTTGTATGAATTAATATGACTGCTCAAACTAGGATATAATTAATATGCAGCCGTATCTTTGAATGCTATTTAATGTTATATTTTAATACAGGGTGATTGACTGAGGAAGTGATTCATAATGGAACAAATGTCACCTCCACAAACACAACCGCAGCTTGTCATTTTTCGTAATGAACTACCCCTGCAACACTTTCGCAATCGCAATTTGACGCTTATAAAATTGTGTGTTGCTGATCCATATCTGGATTTCCGTACTGCTGCTGGATCAAGCTGAAGGTACATCCAACTCATCCAGGATACAATTTATAAACCAAAACGTTACTATGATAGTTACCAACACATAGACTAGATCTATTACACATCAAAACAAAAATAGCTATATATCTTACGTTGTTGATAGGTGTGTCAGTCTTCTGAGCTAACGGTGACCATGACACCATCAACAAACAGGCCTGCATACTTCCTCTTCCGGCTTCCATAGGTTACTAGCCCAAACGGCACAATGCCAATTGGGCTTTCTTATTTTCATCCAAAACGGCTCAATTTACGATTTCAGTAATAAATCTAATCGATTACATATATACTGAACCAAATTCAAAACTTCATAATCCTAAAATTTTAACATTTTGACCAGTTATCATTGTCGGCCCTTATTGTGTATTTAAACTGTAATGGCCACGTATTGTCTTCAGGTAACACCCGTTTTAGTGCAGGTAAATTGATCAAAATCGTGTGCACAGCACTGTAGTGGCAAAAGTGTTTTTTTCACGTGCAACTGGTCACGTGGCCATAATACCGCACGTGATTTCAGCCATACCAGAGACAATATCTATTATATGGTCTCGAGCCATACTTGTTAGCAGTCATTAACCAAAAAAGAAAAACACAAGAAAACAAAAGTCTTTACGGCCATTTGTCATGCCACGCCTTTCAAATGTGCAACGTGAACGTGCCATCGGCATGTTGCAGACGGGAACGTCCGTAGCTGAAGTCGCAAGGACGATGGGTTGTAGTCGACGGACCGTTTATGATTTACTGACGCGTCTACAGCAAACGGGTACCACCGCTGATCGCCCTCGGCCAGGTTGACCACGTGTGACGTCACATGCAGAGGATCGTCAGATTGTCTTACGTCACCTCCGTAACCGATTTTTGACGGCTACATCAACCAGAAATGAACTGTTTAGGGGTAGACTGAGTGCGCAAACTGTTCGAAACCGTCTGAGAACTGCTCACCTTCAAGCACGACGGCCATACTGCGGGCCGATTCTGAAGCAATTACACAGACGTCAACGTCAATTGTGGGCACAGCGACACTTACGATGGACTCAGAGGAATTGGAATCAAGTCGTCTTCAGTGATAAATCCCGATTTCATCTTCGATTTGCTGATGGTAGGGCGAGGGAGTGGAGGCGCCGTCATGAACGTTACGCCCAGTGTTGTGTACAGGAAGTTGACAGATTTCGAGGTGGAAGTGTCATGGTGTAGGGTGCTTTCTGTGGCAATGCACGTTCCAGGCTTCTTGTCATCCGTGGCAACCTCAACGCTGCTGCTTACCGCGACCAGGTACTGGCACAAGAACTTCTGCCTTTTATGGCAGCGCATGGACCCGGTTTGATCTTCCAACACGACAATGCC